TAATGTTTTTTTAATATCAACGTTAATTCTGTCTAAATAATTACAATGACAGGGGTTACTGTAATTTCTCAAACATTAGGAAGTGATATGTATTAAACTCAAATATCAGAGTGTAAGTATAATTTATCCTTTTTTTTTTACAACATACAAATTTATACAAAAATATTATTAAAATAATATGACTATCATTTTTGTAAATCAAACTCATCTTCATAGGTGTGTTTTATTTTAAAAGTGAAAGATTCACTTTAAGTCACGTCATTCCATGTAAAAATTTTGTATAAATTTTTTGTTTTTGATAGAATTAAGAAGTTTAATGCGCTGAAATTAAGAACTTTGATTTAGGGTGATTCATACTAAAATTATAAGGGTAAATTATACTGATACCTCCTAAGGTTTTTTTTTAATGCAGATCTCCTTTCGCATTTAAAAAATTATACTTACTCACTTGTCAGGTTAAAATAACATATTTATCTCTTAACATTTATACATATAAAATAATAAAATAATACAGATATTTTGTTCATGTTAGTTCAAGAAAAACAACAATCATCTTCTTTGGTTTAACTCACACAAAAAAATTAATTTTTTTATTTTTCAAGTTTTTTTATTTTTATTTTTACTGAATTTTTTAATATTTTAAGTAATTTTTAATTTTTATTTTTTTAGATACACTTAATCTAGATATACTTAAGACGTATAATATTTTGTGATTTTTTAAAATTCATCAAATACAACAAAAAAATTATATATATATATATATATATAAATATATAAAAATTCAAGACATTATCTTAATTTGTTATATTCAATGGATTTTTTTTTAAATTTTTTGTACAGATTTTATACTTTTTAAATATATATAGATTAAATTGATCTAATCTAAATATAATAGTGGAAATAAAAATAAAAAATTATATTCATATATAAAAATTTATACAAAAAGTATCATAAAAATATTGTGATAGTGATATTATTATAAATATAAATCATATTTCTAGGTGTTTTGTTTTAAAATGAAATGTCAACATTAAGCTATATCATCGTGTTTGAAAATTCTATATAAAATTTATGTTTGTATATCATTCCTCAATAAGAATATGTTCATGTAGAATTTAATGATGGAAAGTTGTAGAATGTAGATATGATGATAGAACGAAGAAATTGTAAGAAAAATGGTAAGATGGCCATTTAAAAAAATTTAGGACATGACATCAGCAATCTATGAAGTAATTTTTAATGGGATAACAAACTTTAGAGAGGAGAATGTAATTTTTCAAATGTAATGGAGAATCTGTATTAAACAGAAATCTCAAGAAGTGTTAGTGCAGTTTACCCAAATTATAAAATTTTGAAGGGATTTTAGTTTTTTTTTTAAACAAACATGAAGAAATAATTTTATTTTTCAGTTGAGTATTGTGAAGAACTAATTATGGAATTAAATGGATGATCAATGAAATAAAAAAGTAGCTTAGTTATATACATTGAAAGTGACAATTTTATAGTATTGATAGTAACTTTCAAAGCATAAAAGTTCATATAAAAAACTTTTGTAAAGAATATTAAAGTTTTTATACTTAAAAAATAGTTTGAAATTTTAATATTATCTTTTTATTAATTACAAGAAGAACAAAAAAAAAAATCAACATTGTAATCAATGGGTGCCCTTTTTGAACTAATTTTTTGACTCCGTCACTAATAATAATAGTAATGGGGTAGCAATTGTGACAATAGTAACCACAGTTCCGATTTGTATCTCAAAAATACTGAGACTCGAATGGCCTGAGTTCCAAAACAATGTCGTTTTGGAATTTTTTTCCCCCCTCTTGTCTCTCTAAGGTAAAGAAGAAAAAGAAAGGAGGGAGAGAGAGAGAGAGAGAGAGCAAGCACCAGATGATTCATCATCAGCAAAGCAACCTAAGATCATCATCATCATCATCAACACCAAATGATGCATATTTCCTAATCTACAACACATCATCATCATCATCAACACAGCACAGATCTATACACACACATATCTATATATATATATATATATGAGAGAGAGAGAGAGCCACCCACCGGCGCCGCCATTACCGCCTCCTCTGTGTATATAGAGATCTGTGCTCTTCTTCCTCCTCTCCATCTTTTCTCCTTCTCTCTCTCGCCTCTTCTCTCTTTCTCTATGTCTGTTTCAGAGAGGGAAGGGAAAGAAAAAGGGGGAAAAAAATACTCAAAACGACGTCATTTTGAATATTTAAGCCAATTTTTTTCGAGTTACGAAGGATTATTCATAGCAACCATGACAATGACAACAATGATAGTGATTGTAATGGTAGTAGTGGTACTACTAATATAATGACATTAGTAAAATTCATCCAAAAAAAACTTATTTTCATTGACTTTCAATTTTTGTTAACCAAATATCAAAAAAAAATATACAACAAAATATATATTTATATTTTTTTAAATGGCGCAAGACAACATAAATAATAACAAATGAAAAAGAGGACGTGATATATCACTGACAAATAAAAATTTGTTTGTGATTTTTATTTGAGTCCCACAGATTTAACAAGTTCAAAGAAAGTGTGAAGTACCACACAATGCATATTAAATATCATATTAAAACAAAAAGTAATAGAAAAATAGGAAAAAAAATTTAGGACTCTGCCAACCCATTGTCTGCAATATGTACACCACCACGTATTCACGTATGAAGAGTATATATTAAATTAATCAATAAGACTGCCAATTATACTATTTCTTTAATCAAATTAATTAATTAATTTTATTTATTTTTTAAGCTGGGAGTGTGCAGAAAGCTTTTTTATAGGAATGTCTTTTATGGTGAAATGTAAAAGGTCAAAAGGTGTGGGAACCTACTGACAGTCTGACACTTGATATATATATATATATATGTGTATATAAGCTTTTAATAAAATTTCTTGGAATAGTTTTTTTTCTGCTTTTAGGAATATGATGATCTGTTTTCAACATACCCAAAAACCAAAAAGAAAAAAAAGGGCCCAACAGGTGAAGTTTTGGACGTTTGCATAGGGGAAGAAAGCATAAATTTTATGGTTTTTTTTTATTTATTTATTTTTATTTTTTATTATTTAATATGGTGTGGGGTTCATTTGTGCAACATTGACTCAAATATCAGACCTTAACCAACAATTTATTTTTTATTTTTTCAACATTGACTTTTATGTGCCACTTTAGTCTGTTAATGACAAGGCAGTTAGTTCATAAAAGTAGAGTTAGTTATTGGGTGTTGATTAGCTGTTGTTGTTGTTTATTTTATTTTTTTTTGTTAAAAAAAAAAAAAAAAAAACAGTTGTGTGCTTACTTTTCAATTTTCATTTTCTAATTTTAGTTTTTGATGCTTTTGACACAAAAATAAAGAGAAAATCAAGATTTACATTTACATTTTTTTACAAAAACTGTTCTCAACTTTTGAGATTTGCTTTTAGATTCACTTCGTCAAACAAATTATTCGTGCTATTTAAAATTAATAAACAGAAACAAAACCACAACCAAACAAGCAAAGATTTTCCAAACAAACACATGGAGAAGAATTTTTTTGTAATGGAAATCAAACCAACTACCAAGGAACTGGAACTCCTTGATGGATTTTGTCTTTGCAAATTCATATGTATTTGTATTAGAAAATATTCCTAGTCAACAGACCACTATACTTCTATAATTAGGTCTCTATACGAGTCGGAAGATCTAAGAACACACACACATGGATAACATATGAGAATATTAGTATACTGGTATAAGACAGTCATGTCATAAAATATTAGCCAAAAACAAGCTAAGCTTCTATATAATCCTTGAAGCATATTGATATTAACTACCCCTGTTTGGCTCTCATTTTTTTGGGACTTTTCTTCTGTTTTTAATTTTAGTAAATTTTATATGCAAACATATATATAGGTTGCTAATATAACATGTATGGATCCAAATTCCTTAAAGAACTTAAATAGCATCTACATTTCAAGCTCCTACTTGATCATCCCAAATCGATAGGTAAAAGATGTATATTCTGCATTTATATCTGTGTATACTACAATTTCTGGAGGGGTTGTAAGACCGATACACATATAGCACTTTGTACAAACTTCATTTCCTTCCATCATCAATCTACTTAGTGACAAGTAACAAAGGGTGTGATAGAGATTTGATCTTTTATTTAACATCTTTTCCCCTCCCCTTATCAGACTACATTTTCATGTCCTAATTTCAATCTGACATCATAATAAATATATGGATAGCAAATTGGTAACAGTAAATATTCACTCACTTTTGTCTAATAGATATTCATTTTTCTAACCCAACAAAAAGAAAAGATGTTCTCAAAAAAACAGAAAAAACAAAAGGAAAATTTATCTTATTTCACTTTTTTTCCCCCATCTTTTCTTCTCTTTCAACAAATTCAATATCCAAACATAGCATTATATCTCTAACAATGGAGGAAAACATTAAATAAATAACTGGATTTATAATATGCAAAAGGTACCAATGGATTCTCTGAGCTAAGGTTCACCATTACATGTTGAGCATTTAAAAAGTAACAGTGTAGAATAAACAGAATAGTTATTTATTTCTTTCATCATGTTTTTTACAAGAGAAATTTCATTAAAACTTAAACAGTATAGGTCTCATCTTTATAGGACTCAATACATGGAAGAGCAATAAAACTAAAGAAAGTGCTTACTATCAAAATCTCTTGCAAAAGCCAAGTCTTTGGCTAACAGAAACCGTAGAAAGATCAAAGCATGCATGGAAGCCCACATGGTAAACCCCAAGGGACCTGCATCGCAAACAATTGATTGTCACTGCCATCCAGCAAGGCCTACATATGAAACCTGCTATATGATTCACTGGAATACTATCCTATCCACTTCCCATGTGGCATGGTGACTCCTATTATTTTTTATTTATGACGGATTCTACATATACATATGGCATTTGTTGAGTAGATACACAAGATAAAGCCATGCAGTACATATGGTAACAATATCATTTTCTGAGTCTCAGCAAAAGTCGAAACCCCTGCTACAAGTAAGCAAATCAACCATGGTATACTTGATCTAAGCAAAGTTGGCATAATTGTTACATACACTTATGAACTAATGCAACCAGACAACCCGTTTACAATGGGTACAAATAAGCACCAATTGTCTTGGCTCCACATATATTAAGAAACTGGTATTTAGGGTAACTCTTTAACCGATCAACCAAATTGACTACAAATACACCAATTATTTAACATGATAATGGAAAACAGCTGGCATGGCCTGTCACAAGGGAAGAAATGTTAATACAAACTGAAAAGGAATGAATAAAAACAGTGAAAACAGATTAGAGCATCACACAAAGTAAAATCCTAGAACAACCAATACCATAACAAAAGAAGGGAAGGAAAAAAAAGAAGAAAAGGAAATTTTCCATCATGCATTTTTGTTACTGAGTGAGAACCTTTTTTTTTTTTCCAAATGCAAAAACCAAATTAGTCCAAGAATAGAAATTCAAAAGATCAGCCCTTGCTAGTTAATTTAAATCAAGTTCGCCCAGTAGTACAGTTATATGGGCCATTACATGCCATCAACCATTTCTTATCACTAGTGTTGTGTTGACTGATTTGCCAATATTCTTCTCAAATATTTACCAATTGCTAATCAAAGAAAAAAAAACCTGGCATGTTTACCTCAAATATATTCAGCACTATGTCAAGCAGCACCAGAAGTTGTACTTCCAATTGTTTTAAGATCGAAAATCTCAATCCAATAGCCATCAGGATCCTTAATGAATGCTATCCCTTTCATTTTCCCTGCAAGCAGCATGGCATGTTTCTCGACATCAATGATAATTACACAATTATTCATCCTTAAAGTTTTGGTAATACATCCAGCTTTTACACTCCTACCAATAAAGCAATGCAGCATTAGTAATTTTCAGTTAAGGGTGCAACTTCGGCAAGTTCAACCCAAGAAACCTGATCCCAACCTGAAACAAATCAGGCTTGGGCAGTGTATTTAAGAATTCGAGCCAAGCTTGGGCTAAATTTCTCCAGCCCAAAATAAGTTCAGGCCAGGCCCGCGCAGAAGCCACAGACAACCAGAGCACAATTTATGAAAATTATATATGATAAATACTAATACCTATACAGCTCTGAATGTTAGATTACTGTTGGATTAAATCTTAAGCTGAGATTATTAAAAATCCAGATAGATTACCACTGGATTAAATCTTAAGCTGAGAATATTGAGAACCTCTCACCTGGCTTCCCCTCGCGCTCCCTCCCTCTCTCACAGTCTAACTCTCTGCCTCTTTGTAGACCTGGCACCACTGTCAATGTGCTGCACTGTGACTTCCTACCTTTCCTTCTCAGGTATCTCTCTAGTCGCAGCCCCTCCCCCGCCTCTCTCCATCCTCACAGGTCACTAACACACAATCACCTTCGTTCACATCAGCACCAAGACTTGCTGGTATTTGCACCTCTTGCAAAATCTTAGCTCATGGCTCCTGATAAGGGACCTCAAAGAAGCAATATCCTCCAACCAGAGGGAATCATCTTTCACTAGGACTCAACTCTCAATATAAAGAAGGGAAGAGAGGTTCATTCAAAATGGAGAAGACTGTTTTCTCACATCATATAACTGATTGAGTCAGCTTGAGACATGGTTCTCCCATGCACATGGATTTGCAGAAATGCAAAAAGGTGGACCAACCTTTTATCTACAAGCAGTCCCGACCTTTTATCTACCATAGTCAGTACAATATTATCCCTCCTCATCAGCACTTGTAGTTTAAGCTTGAGACTATTTTTTATTGAGGAAGCATCCCATCAGCTTAATTGAATTCTAAAAATGAAAAGAGTAAATTACCATCATCAGGCTTCTTCACAAACTCCACCCCTAGATGTTCAAATCTCTTGCAAGCCTTGATTGTGTCATCAACAGTAATGCCTATGTGTCCTGAAAGCAAAATTAGGGAAGTCAATCTCATGAAATGTTGGTTAAAAACCCAGCATCCAAAAATCAAAAATCATCTTTACAAAGAAAACATCCACATGCCTAAAGAAAATGAGAACAGAGTCAAGCACAGTCAATGAGGATTAATTCCTGACAAGGACACAACCATCAATCAAGAATAGGCTCATAGCACTTCATGTCCAATCTAGTACAGCCCCTTTAAGTTTTACGAAATTTAGAAAAGCCAATTGAAAAGCCCAGCTCACACTTCTTAAAACTCAAGTATTAAAAAAAGAGAAACTAGAGCCTTCTAACTAGCACAGATAAGGCAACTCTAGGTAATGTAGGACACATTCCAACACACCCTCTTGGACTACAACATACAGTAGCCGGACAAACGACACACCAATCACAAACCCAACCAAGCTCTGATACCAAATTGAAAAACCTAGCTCACACTTCTCCTTAAAACCCAAGTATTATGGAAAGAGAAACTGGAACCTTATAACTAGCATAGATGGGGCAACTTCAGGTAATATAGGACACATTCCAACAAAGTCAAGTCATGCTATAATCATTGTCTGAAGCAGTAACAAGCGCTGATAAGCTGTGGACAATAACTCTTACAAAAACAAGATTCATTTCTTGGGCAGTCCACATTTTAGGAAGTAGACGAGTAAGTTGGCATGGTTTTATTTTGCCTAGTTTTAATGGTTGATGGTTTCAACTTTGATTAGATGAATTAATTCCATGGCAGATTATTCTAGGCGTGGAACAACCTCTGCAGTATGGAACCTAATCAAAATGATCCAATATGCACTATCAGATTGATGTGGCATTCAGCAAAATAGATCAGCAGTGCCGATGGATGGTCTTCAAAGTCAACAGAAATGGTACGTAGGAATCACATCATAAAAGATACATATGTGCCATTCAAGCCAACATCTAAGAGTTACATACCAAAGCCACGAGGTTCTGAGTTCCCATTATGGTAACCTTTGAAATCAGGATCACTCTCAGTACCCCAATTACTGTGGCAAGCATTTGAGTGTCAAAATGTTACAGAGAAGGGGAAGAATAAAGAATTGATTTCCACGAGAGAGAAAAAAAATGTGATATCAAAATAAAATATACTGTGTGAGCTCAATTGTAGCCTTCTGACTGAATGTCCAAACTGTACGATCAACTGCATTGCTGGGAGCTGATGTTGGGTCCTGAGAAAGAGACAGAGAGAGTGACGTCAAGTTAATTGTTTTTAAGTGAATTCACTACATAGCACCAAAAGGAGGAGCCCATGTATGTGTACTAGTTAAAAAGACAAAAGTTGTACCATCCTAGAAAGAACTAATATCCCAAGTTATCAACAATATCCCTAATGCTGTGGATCAATGACACAGTTGTCTTCCACTCCATCTAAGTGTTCATCCCTCCCATCAAATGGCCTTCAAATCTAATGACTTTTGCCACTAGTTTTAGTACCCTTCCAACTACCAAACATATCAACCAGTGTGTTTGGGAGAACCCATCTTACAAGAATATACATAGATATATATATATATATATATACAGCCTCTCAAGTAACCTTACAAGGTTTAAAAAGATAATCAACTGTCTCCTCGTTGCAGAGGGCAGAACGCCAATTAGAAAGTGCCATCAAGAACATCTTTTCAAGAAGAAAATTTAGAATATCATGGTTTTAGAAGATAGAAATAGATAGAGATACACAGACAGACAAATACATATATATATATATATATAGAGAGAGAGAGAGAGAGAGAGAGAGAGAGCTAGGGCTACAAACGAGTCGAGCCAAGCCGAGTTTTAATATGTTTGGGCTTGTTTATTAAGATTTTAACGAGCTCGAGCTGAATAAATCGAGCTGAATAAAAATTTAACGAACCGAGCTCGAGCCGAGTTGGCTTAGGCTCGACTCGAGCTCGAGCCTGTTCACGAGCCTTAATGAGCCAAAAAATTTATAAATTCATACTTGCATGTGAGACTAAAGTTACAATTAAAAAAACTTTGATTATATAATTATATATACACAATATATAAACATACTAAAAAAAAGTCCATATTTTACTAAAATAATAATATCTACTACCACTATTATATAAATGTACTATCTATAGTTACCTATTATTTACATTTATATTTTTTAAATATATAAATAGAATATTTCTCTTATTTTTTATACATATTTTTATATTATTTAATATATAAATAATAAATATTAAACGAGCCGAGCTTTGGAATGTTTAGGCTTGTTTATTAAAAATTTAACAAGCTCGAGCGCGAGTTCGAACGCAAAAAAAAATTAACGAACTGAGTTCGAACGAGCTCTTACCGAGCCGAGCTCGAGCCTATTCACAAACGGCCCTGTTCATTTGCAGCCCTAGAGAGAGCTGTCTAGAACATTTGGAAGAAAACTAAAATATTTTATGCTTTTATCGTAAATGCATGGCTTATTGGAGGATTTAGGCCCCATTTGGTGTGGTGGCTTTTCGGCTAAAATAGCTAAAAAGCCAAAACACCCAATCATATCGCTCTCTATATTTTTCTGCACGTCTTTTGTAAAAAGCCAACTAAATTTCTAGCTTTTTATGAAAAACGTACAGAAAGATATAGAGAGCGATATGATTGGGTGTTTTGGGAATTTTGGCTTTTTGCCTATTTTAGCCAAAAAGCCACCACCCCAAACGCGACCTAATATGAAGAAAGGCCTTCCATTGCTAAACACAAATTATGTACAAGGCACCATTAATGACCACCAAGGCATCGGTAGTAATAAAAAAAATATTGCAAAAGTAATGTAGAACACTTTACCTCATATCCTATAAAATACAAGCTAAATTTCATTTCTGGAAAATCCAACCTCTTAAGTAACCTGTAATATGCAACGAAGAAATTCATATCAAATTCAATTACATAAACTATAGATTTACTCCCAACTTTCCCTTTTTATGAGCAATAAGAAACTATTATGAAAGAAAAAGGATACAAGGCAACTAAAAGAATCCTTGGCACCCTCCAAATTTTTAAATATAATTCTCTAAGGTTATTGTGATTGATAATGAACTTAGAAGTGACTAAGTTTCTTTGGTGCCTGACGGGTAATGTTGTTTCTCACAACCCAGAGGGTCAAAGGTTCAAAATTTGGTAGAGAAGAGGAAGATAACGAAATTAGAAATGCCTTTGCGGCTATGAAGCACAGGGTACTCCAAAAATGGTGCCATACAAGTACCGGGTACTTACCGGGTGTAGGTACACATACTGATATGATGGTACGCACCGAATACTTGCCGGGTACGGCAAATATATTTGGGTACGTCATGGGTATGGCATGGGTACGTCATGGGTATGGTCCCGGTACGGCGAGGTGACTTTTTGTTTTTTGGCAGCTGATAGAATTTATTGCAACCTTTATTATTCTTCTTTTAAGTTTGAAAATATTAAGTAATTATTTCCAACACTCTTTGCCCACGAGTCATAGTTTTGTTTTCTTTTGCATCATGTTTTAGACGATAAAAAAAAAGAAAGAAAAGAATTATATAACTTTTTAGACAAGTTGTTTTTGTTTTAGTTTTGATAGTGAAACTTTGATTTGTATGTTAGATGTTTAGATATCAATTTTTAAAAATTAAAAAAAAAATTGACGTACCTTAACCATACGCGTACCCTACTTTTTTAAGAATTTGCCGTATCGGTACCCATATCGTACCCGTATCCATATCCAGCACATGTGCTTCATAACTTTGCGGGATGCTTGTGCAACCTTACCTTAGGGGTTATAATTCATAGGGAGTTCACGGTGAGATTCCTAGTGTATTCTTCAAAGGCCCCAAAAGGTGCCTTTTTTTAACCAAAACCCTTACCTGATTGTGCACAAATCATCCCCAACCTCTAATTTGTGGACTTTCAGCACACAGTTTTTAAAATCCTGCATCCTGCAACTTTTAAACAAGTCCAAACTATTTTTTCCCATCTACAAATCCTAGATTTCTCCTTTTAACCCTACAATTTTTTTCTGTCCAAAGCCCAATACAAGTCCAATTGTTTGCACCACTAGGCCCTAATTTCCTAATCAGTCCTACATCATAATACCTACAGGTTGAGAATCAATCAAGAACTCAAAAAACATATTCAATGAATTACTTTGAATCTACAATTGACAGTCATAGGTGATAACATAGTCACCAAGACAGAGAAACTAAGTTAGTCAGAATGCTTTGTTGAATACTTGAAAAACTCTACTGCTTTCTGGATCCTCGCTGTGAATTTTCTATATATACCCCTCCTATCTGAAAGTTGCAACTACCAACGTTAATGTGAAATCAATTTGAAACAAAACTAATTCACATATTTGAATCAGTTGCTTTTCCTACAGTATCATGATTTCATCATTGAATAATGACCAGTACTATTCAGATCATCAGACTTGGATCTTACTCTGAATTGTTGAGTGGCCTAGTTAACCACTAAACTAATTGGATTCACGATGCCTTTTATGGCCATTTTGGGACCTCACGAAATAAACATATTTGTTAATTTGCTACTAATTCACAGTCATTAGTGGATCGCCAAGGTTACAATTTTCCACCAAAACATGGACATAAAGCTGTTTTGACACCCATTATGAATATTGCATTAGATATCCCCATTGGGAGTTGACTATTGCACGATCACATTTAAGCAAAAAATAATACTTGGTCTACCAGATATGAACAAAATTACAGTAAAAGAACAACTTATGAACAAAATTGAAGCACCAGACCTAAGTATTAGACACACGTATCAGCATCAAAACACAGAGGGAAAAAGAAATCTCAAAGTAAAAAAAAAAGGAAAAAGAAAAAGAAAAAAGGACTTACGACATGCCCAATACGCGAGAATAGAAATCAAGACTGACTTTTGGGTCCTTAATCCGAAACATCTGAATTCAAAACAAATTCCAAACATGAACAACACATGTACATACAGTCTACAGATACATACATATAGGGCATGAATTAATTGAAGAGTAATTGGGACTTACAGTTTGTTGCATGAAGTAACTTTTAGTGGCTTCATCGGGAGTAGTGTGAAGGCCTGGATTGTTGGAAGGAGATTCTTTGGATTCTGAAGCCATTGATGATGATGATGATACAAAACGAGAGCGAGTCGGGTACTGCAAAAGAGATAGAGAGAGAAATGGAGATTAGAAGAAGGTGAATTGGGAATTAGGGAATCAAAGCATTTTTAGGGTTTTGGGGACCTTTGGGTTGATGGTGGTGAGAAAGGTAAGGATTGAAGGTGAGGTAAATTTGGTGGTTTTGGGGATGAATCAGAAGAGAGAGGGCCGAGATAACGAACTTGCGATCGACAACGCCATTATTGGGTTCTGTTCTAGAGAGAGAGGGAGAGAGAGAGACAAGAGGAGAGAGCTCACCTTGTGCTGAGTGACGACGAAGTGGCGGCGTTGATGATAATTTACAGGGATTATATTATACAGAGTTTTTTTGGCTGAAATATTTTAATTATACTATATATTTTATTTTCAAAATATTGTTCAAATCACTTCACTCTGTTTAACTCACATTTTGGTTATCAAATTAGGGGCATTTTGGCGAGTGAAAAAAAAAAAAAAAAAAAAAAAAAGTTAGTTTTTTGGGTTTTTAATTTTTTTTTAAGTTACCATATTTCCTTATATTTTTACATTAAAAAAAGTCAAAAGTCATAAAAAAGTTAAAAAAATTAATTTTTTACCAACTTTCTAAAACATAACTTAATTGAAAAAGATTCATGGTATAATGAAATTTACACTTAAAATTAATATGAACCATATACTAAAATTTTAGATAATTATTTATCCAAAGCCCTTTTACTTTATAAGATTTTATTACTATAATAATTCATAAAAAAATAAAATTCTTAGTTGAAATCTTAAAAGTTCGTGGAAGACACATTTTGATTAAAGAGAAATACTCCCGTGGAATCTGATTGGTCAAAATTTTATTATTTTTTATTTTTATTTTTTTTCTTTTTGTCTTGAGAGCAGAGGAGTTGGGGGTGCTGGGGTTACTCCACTGAGAGTTCCAACACCGTTGTTGATTAAACTAGAGGTTGTTTGGTGACCAAAAAAAACAAAAATAGTTGAAAACGGTTAACTTGTTTAGTATATTGTTTTTATTTATAAAATAAAATAAAATAAATTCTATTTTTCTATAAAATAAAAAAAAAATTATTTTCATTTATTTTTAAAATAAATTTTCACTTTCTCCTCCCTCTTACCATCATTGCCTGCCATCTGCCATCATTCTCGGCCACCACCAAATGGTATTTTAATAATTATTTTTTGTCAGTTGCCGTTTGTTAAAGTTATTAATTATCATCTCATTAAAATTTTAAGATGCTAGAAAAAAAAGAATAGTTATATTATTAAGCTTTCGTTTGACATATCATGCTTTTTGATTTTTAATTATAAAAAGGTAAAATAGACTTTTTAATTCAATAAAACAAAACATCACATCCAATTCATAATCATTTCATTTTTTTCTCTCATAAAAATCAAAAAACTTATTCCAAATAAAATTTTTTAACCTTAAACTAAAAAAATCTAAAGATTAATTCACATCCCAAACAAACCATTAATAATTTCAATTGGCGTCACGACCTGGTGCTCCCTTGTAAATAGCCAAACGCTCTTGACCTAGGGGGGTTCTGTCCAGTGTGTTCACCGTAATTTACGCCCTATTTGAAGCAGCCCCTCTTTGAAACTGATTCTAATCCCTCAGCTGATTGGAACAAACATTGGCGTTTTCCTCTTTTATCCATTCCTTTTTCATAATCATAAATTTTTTTTTGTCTCGTAAAATGCAAATTTTTTTCTATTCACTTTCCTCTCTAAGGGAAGTATTTTAATTAACAAATAGTATTATATTTTAAATTGTTAACTCACAATCTTATTTAAAAACTTTAAGCTATTTGAAATAAAATTATTGTATTATTTATATTCTCAATGCCACCGAATGTTTTTGCAATCGAATTTATATTGGATCTTGTTTTTTATCTTTATTTGTATTTAACTTTTTAAGATTAATTATTCTTTACTCTCTTGTAGTTTAGTCTAAAAATATTTAATCTCCTTGTGATTTAAAACAATGGTGCTATATGCACCAATTAGTATATATACTAGTGTGCTAATTAGTGTTATAATATTATTATTGACCATGTTTATTATACAAGTTATAAATATCAAAAACTATACAAATGATGTCACATCATCTGTTAGTATATTAATGTGTACATTAATTAATACATATAATATTATTCGATTTAAAATTGAAAACATAATCTGTGTAGTTTGAACTTTCGTATAATGGCTTACTGACTTCCGTGTAATTACCTACTCTGCTTGTTAATGATTTTTATAAAAACTCTATATTATTCTTATTTTTTATTCGTGTGGTTTGAACTTTCGAATAATGACTTACTGACTTCCGTGTAATGACCTACTCTGTTTGTTAATGATTGTTATAAAAACTCTATATTATTCTTATTTTTTATTTGTGTGGTTTGAACTTTCGTATAATGACTTTCTGACTTCCGTGTAATGACCTACTCTGTTTGTTAATGATTTTTATAAAAACTCTATATTATTCTTATTTTTTTATTAAATTTTCATGTCAATGTCACTCCTTTTCACTTTCACTCTCTAAAAAAATTAAGGATAAAGTATACTGACATGTACGGATGAAAGTCTGAATTGAAAATAAATATGTATTAAATAAATAAATATAAAATAATATAAATTGTGTATTATAATATTGTGAACGAACTGTCGGAGGCAACTAAGGTTTCATTTGGGAAGCAAAAGTTGGGGGTTTTTTTTTTTGGCTATTTTAGCCACAAAAAACAAAATATCACATCCAACCCATAATCATTACACTCTTCTCTCACAAAAAAAGTCAAAAAAGTCAAAAAGCCAAAAAGCCCTTCCCAAACCAAACTTTTTAGCCCAGGCTAAAATAGCCAAAAAAGTCAAAAAGCCAAAAAGCCAACCTACTTCCCAAACCAAGCCATATATATATATATATACTAGCGTATACCCATGTACGGTGTAAATAATATTAAGATTAAAATACAGTTATAAAAATATATTTAACAGACTGTACTCTACAATTCCAAACAAATCAAATATAAAAAAAAATTAAATATCAAATAATGCACACCAGTCAGTACTCTACAATTTAAAAGAAATTAAAACTAAATTGCATACCAATTAGTGCTACTCCTGCCAATCAAATTATAACTATATAAGAAAAACAAATATTATATTGTCAAGACCCACACCTGACAACACAAAAAAGAAAAACAAATACATATCAGTTTAAGGTTTAGAAACACCAATCCAAATAAATTGAAAGCTACGTAAATAAAAAATGAAAAAGAAACATAACAAAGAGTAGATTGTGAAGATCATCAAACCTGCAAGAGTTTCGAAATGAAAAGGACAAAAAAAGAAAAAGAACAAAGAGAAGATTGTGAAAATCATCAAATCTGCAAGAGCTTCGAAGCAGAATTCAAACAACCCAATTCTTCTTACCAGGTTGCCTGAACATTATATTTAGGTACCTAAACATATATTTTAGCAACAGATAAATCATATTATTAGTAATTTAAAAATTAAAGAAGTCAATTCTATTATTAGGTACCTAAATAAGCCAGAAACATTATAAAATTTATATTACAGTGGTACCTAAATAAGCCAAAAACATTATATTTAGGTACCTAAACATATAATGTTGGATACCTAAATATATATTATTTGTCATAATAGATATTTATTATAAATCGTCAACCTGTGAAGCCAGAATTGAGCTTCACCAATCATCAAACCTGACGATCATCATACGCTAGATGAATCTTCAACATATTTGGTGATATGTTGCAACCTGTTACATTGAAATTGAGATCTCCATTTCTTGCCACAAATGGAGAGGAGCCAAACCCGAGCAGCTAAATAAGCTTATTTGGCAATAGGTTTAAGTTAAGAATTGCAAAACTCACAATACTTTTCTCATATATGATAATATGAGCAGAAATGGGCTTTTCTCCAAAAAAAAACTATGCAAGCTTACACATGTATTTCAGCACCTAAGTCAATAACTCAACTTGACTAAAGAGATTAGCAATCAAATGGAACAAACAGATTTATTATAACCATTATAGACCTCAATTCCACCAACAAACAACACACCCAAATGTATATAATTCCTCTTATCAAGCTTGAATTCACCTCCAAATTTAGACCCAGCTCACCAAATTACCTTTAATGACAGCAACCCACCAACAAAACTACTTCTATTAAGTCTTAAAAGTCAAAGCCCAATAAAAATTTTATTTTTTCTGGCAATAACAAACACGAATGAGTACTCTATTACTCTGGATATATGATCAGAGGTTAATGAAAGAAAAACAATAAGGTTTTTTAGTTCTTAATAGTGATCCTATAAAAGAATAAAAATATTATAATAACAGGTATAGTGAGCTAAAATTTTGTATAAGTAGAATTTTCCTTTCATTTTATTAGGCAGTTCAAAAAATGTTTTAACTTTGTGTGTTCATAGAATTACATTGCCTTCGTGCTTGTTGTTGACTTGAATTGACAAGGAGTCAGTTACAGTAAATTGGCAAGGAATTGGTTACATTGTACTATAAATCTTCTTCCATCTATGACATTATTTATATTTGTGGTATATGACTGTAGTTAGGAGGCTTTAAATGCATCCTAAAATTTTAAGTGCATTTAGTGCCTGCCCTATAATAATTGTATGCATACCTAGGATAAATGACAAATATACCAAGTAATTCATGGTTTCATATATTGATTTTTGGGAAATTTAAAAAAGAAAAAAAACTTCAAAATTTTGACCTTGGTAACAAATCAATCCTAACTTGAAATTATTTTAATTCTAACCATTCATTTCTATGAGCCATTTAAACAGTCTAACAATTTTTTTCCCTTTATTTTGGTGTTGACAATCATTTGCTACCCTTACCATGATCCATCACTACCCCCATCTTCTCCCCATCTACCACTACTCCTCATTTTCCTCACCTCACTACTACTCATCTCATTCCTTTCTCAATTCATAAAAATTCCAGTAAAAAAATATGAAGTGCTTTCTGAACAAACCTTTAAACATGAAGCAAAGATGGTTGGTTTATTTTGTATCTGCACCAACACAATTGAAGCAAATAAAATTAAGATATAGGTAAGCAAGTCCCAGCTTTTTCTCACAGTATAGAAACATTCAACTTCTTTTAAGAAAATTCAGCAAAAATTCAGAGCATTCATTTCTAACTTGAAATTATTTTAATTCTAACCATTCATTTCTATGGGCCATTTAAACAGTCTAACAATTTTTTTCCCTTTATTTTGGTGTTGACAGTCATTTGCTACCCTTACCATGATCCATCTGTGACAACCCTCACTATTGTTTACTGATAATACCACTGATTACTGCTAAACTGTGACTGAACATAATTAAGTAACTGATTTGA